CTTAAGCTCATCCAGAGTGTTGGGTCTTGCGTCTCTCAACTTTCTCTTCACAATATCCCACAGATTCTCTATGGGGTTCAGGTCAGGAGAGTTGGCAGGCCAATTGAGCACAGTAATACCATGGTCAGTAAACCATTTACCAGTGGTTTTGGCACTGTGAGCAGGTGCCAGGTCGTGCTGAAAAATGAAATCTTCATCTCCATAAAGCTTTTCAGCAGATGGAAGCATGAAGTGCTCCAAAATCTCCTGATAGCTAGCTGCATTGACCCTGCCCTTGATAAAACACAGTGCACCAACACCAGCAGCTGACATGGCACCCTAGACCATCACTGACTGAGGGTACTTGACACTGGACTTCAGGCATTTTGGCATTTCCTTCTCCCCAGTCTTCCTCCAGACTCTGGCACCTTGATTTCCAAATGACATGCAAAACTGAGCAACAGTCCAGTGCTGCTCTCTGTAGCCCAGGTCAGGCGCTTCTGCCGCTGTTTCTGGTTCAAAAGTGGCTTGACCTGGGGAATGCGGCACCTGTAGCCCATTTCCTGCACACGCCTGTGCACGGTGGCTCTGGATGTTTCTACTCCAGACTCAGTCCACTGCTTCCGCAGGTCCCCCAAGGTCTGGAATCGGTCCACAATCTTCCTCAGGGTCCGGTCACCTCTTCTCGTTGTGCAGCGTTTTTTGCCACACTTTTTCCTTCCCACTGAGGTGCCTTGATACAGCACTCTGGGAACAGCCTATTTGTTCAGAAATTTCTTTCTGTCTTACCCTCTTGCTTGAGGGTGTCAATGATGGCCTTCTGGACAGCAGTCAGGTCGGCAGTCTTACCCATTAATGCGGTTTTGAGTAATGAAACAGGCTGGGAGTTTTTAAAAGCCTCAGGAATCTTTTGCAGGTGTTTAGAGTTAATTAGTTGATTCATATGATTAGGTTAATAGCTCGTTTAGAGACCCTTTTCATGATATGCTAATTTTTTGAGACAGGAATTTTGGGTTTTCATGAGCTGTATGCCAAAATCATCAGTATTAAAACAATAAAAGACCTGAAATATTTCAGTTGGTGTGCAATGAATCTAAAATCTATGAAAGTTTAATTTTATCATTACATTATGGAAAATAATGAACTTTATCACAATATGCTAATTTTTTGAGAAGGACCTGTATATATATACACACACACAGTACTGTGCAAAAGTCTTAGGCACATTAGTATTTTCACAAAGAAAGAATGGTTTTAAGACAGTTATTTATAACTTTTGCTGTATTGTGTCAGTAGGACTTTTTTTTTTTAAGGCACTTGGATCAATATTGAGTTAAATAATACAAAAAAACATTTATAGCTTTATAAATGTGGCCTGAATGTCCACATATTTCTGGGGGGCACTATATATATATATATACATACACACACACACACACACACACACACACACACTGACTAATACATGCATAAATTCACATTAATTACATTACAGACACAAACGAGAACAAAAGGCTAAAAATATTAACATATTTATTGGACAATGTTCAAAATGCATACAATTCAACAAGAGCTTTATGAAATAACCAAACCGGTACACAAATCATCACAATGTTGAAAATTCTAAACAAAAGATACACAGAAAATTAGAGGTAACATCTTCAGGTACTGACTGAGGAGCTGGTTTGCTAAAGTCAATGACTCAGTGACCCTTCATCTAGTTATCTGATCATGTATCCATTACTGACCTTGTACAAGCCAGAGAAGCTTTTTACACTCAGGGCTGAAGTACTCCAGTTTAGAAGTGGCTGGCAAAGTGCATCACATGTGTACACCTCAGCGCAAGTATACTGGATATGATTAAATTATGTAATGCACGGTGCGGTTACTCGTACAACAAAGCAACAGTCCTGACTGGCTGAGTTATAGAGGCCGACTGAAAAACCATCCAACGATTTCGTAATACTGATACTTTTGGACAAAAGAGAGTGGCCTCTTACAGTTTAATTGACGACTTCCAGACACATCATTAATATCTTTCAAACAGCGCTGCACGTCTCGACCGCTGAGTGACATTTATTTATCATTCTCAGTGCTAATCCTGGCTGATATTCAAACCTGGCAATCAAAGTTTAAGAAGTTGGGTGTTCACTATCGGTGATGTGTCTTGGCTAAAAATGTCTAACCAAGGTCCTGATGCAATGTGCAGGTATAACTCGGTAACAGGTAGTGTGGACTTTGTAAACTGCCAGACCAAAGTTTGCATGATAATTACAGTACTTCACAAAATGGAACACAAACAACTGCATTTATTATTTCTAAAAAATCAAAAGGAATGTCAAAAATGCTTCAAGACAATGTTTACTGCATCGAACTGCAAAAGTTTGTGTGCATGTTTGTGTTGTGTAAATAGTAGGCTATAAACTAAAAACATGAAAAATGAGAACTCTGAAATCATTCCAAGAAACCCAGGATTCAAAGTGTATCGTTTTGGGTTGGGAGAGGCTTTTTGCAATGCTTCATTAAATTATTCGCTGTTATTGTTGCCGCATGGGAAATTACAAATCTGAATAGGCACATATGTTTCAGTAATCTGACAATTAGGAATAGCTCCTAATTAAGAATTACTAAAAGCACAGAGCAGATGTGCCCATTATTACAATTATAACCTTGACTTGCATCAATAAATATTTGGAAGAAATAAACATTCTTCGTTATCGTTTCAATTAAATTGAACTCAATGAGCTGAAGGAACACTTTCCCGGAGAGGTCACAGAATGAGAGAATAACACTGTTTTTGTGTCTGCCAACATTATAATAACTGTATATGAAATAAATAGTATTTAGCATTTTACTTACCAGAATGCTTAAGATTGGCTTATTAAATCATTACCGTTTCATATAAATACTTTGCAACTGCACTGCAAAAAAAACACAAAAAAAACTAAATTAATTCAGTATTGTCTTGTTTTCCAATAAATTGGTTGATTTTATAAACATCCTTAAACCAGATATATTAATAAATCTAAAATAAGATACACTACCATTGAAGAGTTTGTGGTCGGTAACATTTTTTTATCTTTTTGAAAGAATTCTCTTATAACCAGGGCTGCATTTATTTGATAAACATTACAGTAAAAACAGTAACATTGTAAAATCTGTTTTCTGTTTTAACATGTTAAAATGCAGTTTTGATCAATTAAACACAACCTCACTGAATTATAAGTATCAATTTCTTTCAAAAAATCTTACTGACCAGTAGCGAGGTGTACAGTAGTGGAGATTGTAGAAAATAATGTGTTTTAGGGGATATACAGTATCATGAATGAAACTTTTTTTACCCAATTGACAAACTTTAAGCGACTCCACTAAAGATTCTTAGAATCATGCAAGAAAAAAATTTAGGAAAATTAGTCTTATGTTGAGATATTATTCTTATGTACATTTTTTTTACTGGAAAACAAGACAAAATGTAAAAATACCAAAAGTAAATGAAGGTCTTATGATGACAAAACATAAATATGAACACTGAAACTGAAAGGCATGCATCAAACAGGAAGTAAATCCGTAGACGACAGAACTGAGTAGGCAGTTCTGTCTGATCCGCTGCCATTTTGAATTGTGTATCAGTAAAAAAAAAAAAAAGAAAAAAAAAAAACCTGAGAATGCTTAGCTTTACCCAACACCATAAAGCTAAATTATCCATTACATTCTACAGCCTCACAATCCTTGTCTGTTCAAAGCTAGAGTTGAAGGTTAAAATAAGAGTTACCACCTTGCCTTAATTTACAACTGACAAAAACCTTCAAAACACTAAGTCATTACTGTACAAATACAATAACCAACACTATACAATGTCTCGATTTCTACTGCAATACAATCTTTTCTTCTTCAATCACACCATTTCCAAGTGCAAAACAAAGCACTGCCAAGAAATATGGGGCGGGGAACCAGAAAATGGAGGATGAACCTATTTTTAAAGCACCAGCATCTGTTGCGGACAATTTTTTACACGGGATTGTGAACATGGTGCACGAAATGACATGCTCCGCCATTTTGTTATCAAATCAAATGGAAATGTAATCTGAAGGTACCAAGCATTCGGTAACCATCAGAGTGCTACGCTAAAAGGGGTCCAGCACAAATACAGGTTCAACAGTCCACCGAGTGCAGCTCCATCAACACCAGGACGATTTAGGGATAGTCTCTCTCGTTAAATGCTCAACACATCCTTTCTCCTTACAACAAAGATGTCCATAACGGCTCACGTTCATGATGAAATGCATTTAATGAGGCGAAATACTTTAAATATGCCAAGAAATTTGAAGAAAAGCCACATCAAATGGAATGGCTCCACAAAAACGTGTTGAAAACGTCCGAAAGCTGCTGCCAGTGTGAAGGAAGGACGACATCTGCCCTCTTCATGACATCCTCACGCTGTCCTGTCTCTGGAGCCACAATTACTTTGCATTTCTTAAACGTCTCTCGTTTCTCTGTTGCTATGCATCGGATGTCAGAACTTGTCAAAAGTGACAAGCGTGGGCTCTCAAAACTCTGGGTTCTCCGCGGTGGAATTGACATATTCCAAAGACACTGCCGAGGGCTTGACAGGAGCAGGCCGGAGTGGCATTAGGGGTCAAGGAGCGGCCCTTCTACGTACCGTTTAAATGTGTGTGTGTGTGTGTACGCGTGAAAGAGAGATCAGTGCTTCATTGCTTTCTAAAGGCGAGCTGTCTTTGCTGAATGTTTCTAAACTATTTCCACATACACAAGTCTTCAAGGACATCTCGCTGAAGGTTTCCTCATCCTCGCAGTTCACATTAAGTGTCTTATTGAAGAAAATCGTACTAGTATCACTCGCAAAAAAAGATTTACAAGACACAATCGGTGTTTCTTCTCAAGGTCTTTCTTCTGTACAATGAGGAGTGGAGCGTGATGTTCACAGTGCTGTGATGTCACATGGTGTTGATTCTTGTCCTTACTTCACTTGGATAAATAAATATCCACTTTTAAAGTCCACAGTCTTTAAACATCCAGAGTGATCATCTGCCTTAGAAGATTTCTAGATGCTGATCACAAAAGGGAAGGTACCCGCCCATTCTCCTGTAGGGCTGAGTAACTTCAGTGCTGGTAGAGAGATAAGATTTTGCAGCAAGACGTTTCCATGTGGCAAGAACGCTCCCAATCTCCTCTTCGGTGGAAGCGGAACAAATCGAGGGCGTTGAGGTGAGGCGCTATACCTGAACTTGAGTCCCATGCTGTGCCTGAAGACACTGGATACTAGATAGGATCTTTTTCTGATGGCCTGCCAATGCTACGCCCATCTTATCCAGTTCACTGTGAGAGAAACGAAGAGACAGAAGATGCCTTAGCTAAGGGTGGCTATGTTTGTAATAGCATGCTAGCATACTACTCAAATTATTTGTATAGTATGCGGTTTGTTAAATGTGTACAGATGACATGATTACGTCACTGCAAATTATGTAGATTAGAATACACAACAACATTACTCAAATTGATATCTTGCACTTTATTGTTCTTTATTGGCATCTATGGTTCCATGAAGAACCTTTATCATCTATGGAAACTTTCCATTACACAAAAGGTTCATTACAGTGGAAAAAGGTTCTTTAGATTTTTAAAAATGTTATTTACACTAAGAAAAAATTGTTCTTTTAAGAACTGTTCTCTGAAAGGTTCTTTGGGGAACCAAAAATGTTTCTTCTATGGTGTCGCTTCCAAAACGCCATTTTGGAACTTTTATTTTTGAGAGTGTACATGGAAGCAGAGCACACATATTTGTATTAAACAATACTAATGCATACCACTCAACCTTCCATCACCAGTGTGATTAAACATAACTACATCGATTTTAAACATTTATTGTTGGACTCAATATTTGAATAAAATGCCAATATGCACAACATTTTTACATACAAAAGAATTGAAATGTATAACAACTTCCAAGTTCCTAGTCAATAACTCGTAATGAGGTCATGTGACAATGTGGTATACTACTGCTGCATACTTATTTTTGATCATACTGCCAAAATTATACATGAAAATGCAAAACAATTATACTTATTTCTGAGATAACTGGTTGCCACTTTTTTTTGATGAATTAAACATGCAACGCAATGAGGCCATATCACAACATTATAGCAAACTATTGTTTGGAGCATTTAACATTGCATTTTCTTTTACATCATTCTTAGAAAACAGTAGGCAGTATATGGTTTATAATTAGCAGTAAGTAGTTATCTAGTACTCAATTTCAAATATAATGCCATATTACTGAAATAAATGTTGCATTATGTATACTGTGCACAGTTTGATTCTCAGTGTGCAGTAAGCTGATATACCATTGTGAATGGTGTCTTAAAATGCAAGCAAACATCTCATACTAACATAAATGAGAGGTCTATGAGTAGGTGTTGTTTACCTGGAACTGACATACAGAACCGAGTCCAGGGTGACGTAGCCGGCACTACAGAATTGTTCCTTATATTGACCCATTTTAATCAAGTCCAGCCAGTCTTCCACTGTGTTGACCCCTGTGTCAGGAGTTACTGGGTCCTCCCTGTGGATGGAGGAGGAAGTACAGTTAGAATAACAGCCTTATATACTGTACCCATGTCAAATCACATCTAGTATGACATATGCCAAAACTGCCTTGAAGAAAGCCTTCTATATTGGTCTGTGGTGATGTCTGATGTACACTACAAGTTTAATGTTTTTTAAAATCCTCAGTCACCAAGGCTGCATTCATTTGATCAAAAATACAGTAAAAACTGTAATATTGTGAAACATTTTTACAATTTAAAATAAAGGTTTTCCATTTAAAAATAGTTTAAAATGTCATTTATTCCTGTGATTGCAAAGCTTAATTTTCAGCATCATTACTCCAGTCTTCAGTGTCACATGATCCTTCAGAAATCATTCTAATATGCGGATTAGTGAGCATTTCAAAAACATTGACCAAACTTTTGACCAGTAGTGTAAGAATCCATTTGTTTGCTGTTTTTGGTAAAAATTTCATTTAGATTTCTACAAAAACCATGCTGTTTTATCAGCTAATATTTTTAACATTAGTGTTGCCATGATGTGAGCATTTGTAAAATCACTCACAAACACAAATTACAGTTTTAAGAGTAAAAAAACAGCTTATTTTATATGTTCGAGTGTGTGTACTTATCAAGCTTATCAGAAGCTTATCATTGCCTGGACATGTAATGTTTTCCAGGTCCAGAAGGGAGGCAGATTGCACCAAACCATGTCTCTGTCACTCTCCCCCTCTCTGCTGCATAGCGTCCAATATAGCACACACAATCTTAGTCATTTAGGTCTAAACCCATTTAATTTAATAGTAGGGACATGGGGCAAGGGCTTCCCAGTGGTTTGTGGGAAAATTCAGTTTGAACATTCGGCTTTAATTGTGGCAAGCACAGTCGAAACAATCCAGCGTCCATCTGCCTCCTATTTGGCAGCCCTCAAAATGCAGCAGAAGGATAGACAAGCAATCAGATATCAGCCAATATCACCTCAAACCCCCCTCTCGACTGAGAGAAACATGCACTGGAAGTAAGAAGTTTGTACAGATGTACATCTGGCTTCAATCTAGATTAGCCGGATATCGGTTTCATTTATTTCGAGCTTATTGGATTACTGCAAAAAACACCTCCGATTTTATCACACACCTGAGAAACATCATAACACTCTTTATCATGAGCTATATATTACACACCGTTTGTGCCGAACAAAGTGCTGCACACATCCCAACGGATCACCTCTATTGAATTTAGATATAATTCGTGGAGGGCATTTGGCTCACCAGACTGCAGAGTTGGCCAGCTGTTTCAGGCTGCTTGGGTTCCGGACCAGCCTGTCCAGGGTGTTGACAATCTGCCCGAATTTGGGCCGATCGCTGCGGTTCTTTTCCCAGCAGTCTAGCATGAGCTGGTGAAGCACCACCGGACAGTCCATTGGAGCCGGTAGCCTGTAGCCTTCATCTATTGCTTTTATCACCTGGAGGGAAGAAGATTCCACATTAAATCTCATACATTTATTAGCAGCGTATACGCTTCATGAATACTGAGCAGATTTATTCATTCGTTTAATGCATTAGCTTTTGTGTGGGGTTAGATTCATTCATTTTTTTTTAACCCATTTGTGACTTGAAGTGAGAATGATATTTCGAGTGAGACCGTCTTTGTTTGCGCAAAGGGGAGCTGTTTAATTTAGTCTCTTTTATGAAATGATACCGCCGTAAGGGAAAGAATAAACTAGCCTGATGCAGACATTCATATTATCTTAACTCTTGCCTGGAAGACTGTAACCGTTGAAACGCACCAATGCCTGTTACCATGGCAAAGGAAGGAAGACAGATGGATTTTGTGGTTTACGCCATGAATGGAACTTTCGAAATTCCCTTCCCTCGACACAATAAAAGTGCATCCGCTAACAAGCATGCAAATGTTTTCGTGCTCCAGTTTAACATGACGAGTATACAGTCTCGAATCATTCCCAAATGTCTCAATCTCTCTCCCATGCAGCTTGTTTCCAAATCCCGATCAAATCTCTTCCCAAGGTGAAGATAAATAAATGAAAATGGTTTGTGGTGTGGAAAATCTCCCAAGAACCCACTGACACGGATTCAAATTCCCTCTTTTAAAGCAGCCTGTGAATTGAAATCTGGAAATGTTCACCCTCCAGATGCATTTAATCTTTTTACCTTTGTAAGCCTGGGAGTTTTTTTTTTTTATTCTAGTCCCACTGAAGTTCTCTGGCAAAGGTCTTTTATTACAAATCGATGAGGATTGTCACATTTAAAAATGCAGGCCAATGGCAATGGTTACCAGTGTTGTCATTGTTAACTAAAATAAAGACTCTTTTTGTTAATTGAAAGAAAGCTTAAAAAAAACATGAATAAAGGAAAAACTTAATCTTAAATAAAAAAATAGCTAATAAAAATGCAAAAAAAAAGTACATGGCAAAATTCCCAAAATTTTAATTAAAATGAAAACTGAAAAAAAAATAAAATCTTATTCAAAAAAGAATAAATATTATAAAGGTATATAAATAATACTAAAATAACACTGATGGTTATACACTGATGGCAATGCAACTGTGGTAACATTTAAATTCAGAATTTACTCACGTCCTGATTGGACATTTCCCAGTACGGTCGTTCCCCATAGGATAACACCTCCCACATGACAATGCCGTAACTCCACACGTCACTGGCTGATGTGAACTTCCTGTAGGTGATGGCCTCACTGGCAGTCCATCGAATGGGAATCTTACCCCCCTTAAAAAAAAAAAGCACAAAATCAGAGGTTAGCAGTTGTAGGAATTAGCATCGCTACAAATGCCAAAACTATTAAGTATTACCAGTAAGCTACTAGCATTGCTAGCATTAAAATCATGCAGCTTTACAGTAGTGAAGCTATTTTATTTATTAAGTTGTAGAACAGCTTAAACATAAGCTGTTTTTTAAATGTAAATATGCAATATGGGCACTGTGGTAAAGGAAGTCCTGTCTTTCAATTAAGGGGTCTTTTTCATGACCAAAAAAACAGAAACAGCTGTTTGAACATGAAAAAGTTCTGCAAAGTTACAAAGCCACTCCAAAGGGCACTGTACGTAAGCACTGTTTCTGAACTACCTGAAACACATAGATTGTAATCTTGAGTTTTCTTCCGGGAACGTACGTCACAATATTCCTTATTTAAAGGGACACTATGCAGCTTTTTTAGCTTAACTGAACAGCTTCAGAGTTATTGAAATGGTTATATAACTTCTTTCGGGTTAAATGGTGGGCGTCTCGACCCCCCCTGGTGCCTGTGAGCGAAAAAATCCCACTTGCAACTTCGGTGCGGCGGGCCGCGTCAGGAAGTATCGCGTGATATCAGCTCTCGCGATGTAACATATTCCTTTACGGCAACTGCACACATACACACAGTAACAAGGTAGATGGATGGAGTTTGTCACACTATCGTCATGGCTGAGCCGGCATATAAGATGCAGAAAGCTAGGAAAGCATTGTCGGAGGAACAGAGAAAGAGGAAACGGCAGACTGACCGAGCGAGGAGTCAGACACGAGCATAGGCATAATTTGCGGGTGTGTTATGTCCCCATTGAAACTTCTCGCGGCACGGATGTAACGTTACCATTACAAACAAATAAAACATCTCCAGGTAACTCTAGTAGAGCATTCATTTCGTTCGTTTGTTAAATAAGAGGCAATCTGAAATGTGTTATTTTTGAAATCAAGTGACCAAAGTGCTCGTTGCCTCTGCGATCAGTGGTGCAGATAAGTTACAGTGTTCTGTTGTGACGCGCGCCTAATTCCGTTGCGGGGACTGAGAGACTCTCTATATTTTCTTATGGTGAAATCACAAAACCTAATGCACAAAAAACATGTTCCTGCTTGAAATACAACCACTAATAAACAATCGGTTTTGATGAGGAAAATAAACTATACTACTAGTACCGATTAGAACCCAGAACCTCTGACACACTTGGCAAAAGTTCTGCCTCTGGACCATTAAAATTGTCGGATCTATGTATTTAATCACGTGAAAATTCTCACCACTAACAACATATATTAGATCTCATTAAACGACAAATTAAACACAATGTACTATTGTATACTATGTAACAGGCCATGTCACGCTCTGAGTGAGTGGTATTTACGACAGTAACGTTAAATTCAAGTACTCCACAGTAACTCTAGGGGTCGCTGTTTGACAAAAACGGGATTTCTGCATAATGCCCCTTTAAATAATTCCCACCCAAGGTGTACGCAAAAAAAGGGGGACGAGACCTGGTTGAGTTGCGATAGTAGTGTGTTGAAACTTGTGGTTTTGGTAAGGGGAGTGACATTTCTGAAACACGCTCAAAGCGGTTGACCAATCACAACACACTGGTCCTGCCGACCAATCAGAAAACAATGTGCTTTTCGAAAGAAGGGGCTTCATGGAGACCAGAACTAGACAGGGGGTGTGCTTCCCGTACAACGACGTAACTCGCTGCTTACTACCATAGTACAATGCATCGTTGAAGAAATCAACTAGCTAGTCACGACTGTTTCCCGAAACCATATTGTCGCAAATTGGTCGTTCAACCACGTTGGTTAATGATGTCACGCACATGTTGGAGTAATAACTTCTTTTAATGAATCTGTTTGAGATCGAATTAATACTAGACGATTTGCTATAAATAACAGACATGGCATCGGAGGACTATTTCTCATTTTTCTCAGTTATTTTGCTTTATTTCCAGATTCAATCATAGGCTCGTTCTTATGTAGTAGAGCACGTTCGTACATGCGCACTCTTCAAAAACGACGCTTTAAATATCTTGACAAACTAAAAGACGTAAATGACATTTGTATGTATTCTAAATAAAGATACAGATTGTAATGAATGTCAGCTTGCTTATTTGGCTCAAGATTAGGATTTGCATGTCATGCAAACAAAAAACTATACTTCTAACCACAGGCTGAGAGCTGACATTCCAACCACACGACTTTGCGATGCTGTTTGCGAATGTTCGTTAGAACTATGTTTTCGGGAAACACCGAGTAGTTGAACTATGCTGATAACAACGGAACTTGCGACTAGTTGGGTAACAATGCTTTTGGGAAACGCACCCCAGAGTGTTAAAAGTGTGAAAAATAAGGTGTTTTTTGAACATTCAAGCATGAACACCTATTCTAGTAGACCCAAAAACAAAATCAAAACTCTGAAAAAAGGGCATAATAGGTTCCCTTTAAAAGATACATTTATTGGTAATTTTGCTCTAGAATACTGGTCCAAACTTTATTTTTCATTTTATACTGATTTTCCAGCAAGATCATGTACAAATGCATTCATAAGCAGTGAGTAACACACACACACACACACTGAGTGGATGTTTAGCCATCCATCAGTCTGGATAGCTGCTATGACAGTCCTGCGTGACCTCATTTCCAGACTACAGGTCAGCAAGAATATATCTCGCTGAGTCTGGTTTTTTGTTTACACAATCAATTTATATTTCTTTAAAAAAAAATAAACCAGTAAACAGATCACAAAAAAAAAACATTGCAAAGCAAATCCAGTTAAAATGAGACCAGGACCCAGAGGAGCAAACATCCAGAGCAGAAGCATGATCTCTCACCCGTGTAGTATACGCCGCCTCTGGATCGTCCTCCAGCACACGTGACAGCCCGAAGTCAGACACTTTACACACCAGGTTTCCGTTCACCAGAATGTTCCGTGCCGCCAAATCCCGGTGCACGTAGTTCATCTCTGAGAGGTACTGCATCCCTGCGGCTATCCCACGCATCATTCCCACCAGCTGGATCACCGTGTACTGCCCGTCGTGTTTCTGAACAAAATGAAGAGTTCTCATGTCAAAAACTCATCCTTGTGGCCTTATTTTCTGCCGTGTTCAACCTCTGTGGATCCTGGCACAGTCGGTCAGGTTTGAATTTGTCTCGTGAGTAATTCATAATTCATTGGCTCCCTAATTAAAACTGTTGCTCACATGTTGCAGGGCATGAGCGATTAAACTGCAATGACTGTATAATCATTCAGGCTTTTTATGCGAGCAATGGCAAGTAAGTAACCAACTAACCAAATTATGATGTTTCATTAAACCCTCTGGCAAGAAAACAAAATGTTTTGATTGCTAACCACTGTTGTATGGTAATATTGGGGCAATAACAGGATGCTGGTGTGTTAGTGCAGTGGGTTTCAAACAGAAATTGAGAATATTTTTAATGTAATTTTTATTTTTTAAATGTGTCAATTGACAAAATATTTTGTATCCAATTTGACATTATGGCTTCATTCTGCTTTTTAAAGATGGGTATTTAATTTAAACCTAACATTAGTAGTGGGTGGAAGAAAATATACATTGTCAACCTAATACAAAGTAAATACTTCCAAAATAATATTTCAATAATATGCTTTGACTTTAGTATAATGATAAAATAAAGCCAATTATTTAATTTCAGAAATAATGTTGCCTTTATAATATCATTCTTAACATTTTTCTCACATAGTATAAAAGGGTTCATATACACGGAAAACATATATCTGCCTTAGTATTATAGGAAGGGATATTTTCATAAACTATTTGGCATCAAAACCTGTGGCTATATTGTCTCCATCAAGCTTCTAAGCTAGCTTGACCAGCTTTATCAGAAAGACCATGCTGGTCGACTATCTCCACCAGATAAGATTTGCTTGTGAACATCATGGTGAAACACCAAACCAGCATAAATCATGGTGGTCTAAGCTGGGTAGGAGAAGACAAGCTGAGGGACACAAAGAAAAAAACAGGCATCGAGAGGTGTGAACACTCGAGTTGTCAAGCCTGATCTGGAAGAGCCAGACGATTGCTTTGTGTTCCTGTGATATTTCACAGCATTTCCTTTGGTGCAAATTGGCCTTCATCATTCGCAGCAAAATAGAGCATGCTCACCTTCAAAAAAGTGTCCAGAGATCCATTTTCCATGTACTCTGTCACTATCATCACAGGCTTACCTAAGGGACAGAAGGAGACAAAACGGGAAGTGTAAAATATTGCTGAAAATAGAGAGAGAGTCAAAGCGAGAGAAAGACGTTTCATTTTTTTCACAGGCGAGTAAGAAAAGACACAACGGAGAGGCAGGAAGAGGCTGGCGCTTTGTGTCCTATATTTAATTCATTTCCAAGTTGACAGAGAAAAACATGCAGATAAAGAGAGCGGACACCTCCCCCACTTCCTGAGACTTCACAGACCCTTGTCCCAGCTTTCCTTTGCCTCTACCTGCTGCCTGTTACTCATAGTGACAGCCCCTAATCAAAGCTCTCAATAACAGCCAGGCAGATAATTAGAGCGAGCTGTCCACTGAGAATATCTTTGTCCAGAAATACCTAAAATGGTAATGAGTTCCTTTCGGAGGAAGGATGATGAAGGGGGTGTGGTGGGGGTTCTAGGGAGTGCTGTGATTAATTGCCCTGGGGGGGTGGTGGAGGGGGTGAAAAATAAGAAGGGGTGTAAAGATCTGCTAATGGGAAAAGTGTTCACCTCTCCGCTATGTTGCAGACACAGCTGCAAGAGGCACATATGGGGATCTCGCACCTGCGATGCTCAAAGTGATTAAAAATTCTCCCCTGATTCCACCCAAATAACACACTGTCAATCAGAGAGACCCCCTTCTCGCCTCGCATGCTGAAGAGTGCATGCTAATCCATCCTGATTATCAGAGATGCTTGATGGATGTTACATACGGCAGAAACGTTCACCTCAGGGCACCAGACACACATCAATGTGAGAGGACGTTTAACCCTAGAGATGCTCACCATTTATTTGAGGAGCCCTTTATGTTGTGCCTAGCCTAGCGGCTAACAATCTGGCCTGGTAACCAAAGGGGTTATACAGTAGGTGATCCTCAAGGTATAATCATTATGATATTGAGTGAACAATGTAGCCGTAATTTGGGGATTGTTTCTGTAAATTAGTGTACATTTTTTTTAAATACATACATATATATACACACTCACCTAAAGGATTATTAGGAACACCTGTTCAATTTCTCATTAATGCAATTATCTAATCAACCAATCACATGGCAGTTGCTTCAATGCATTTAGGGGGGTGGTCCTGGTCAAGACAATCTCCTGAACTCCAAACTGAATGTCAGAATGGGAAAGAAAGGTGATTTAAGCAATTTTGAGCGTGGCATGGTTGGTGCCAGACGGGCCGGTCTGAGTATTTCACAATCTGCTCAGTTACTGGGATTTTCACGCTCAACCATTTCTAGGGTTTACAAAGAATGGTGTGAAAAGGGAAAAACATCCAGTATGCGGCAGTCCTGTGGGCGAAAATGCCTTGATGCTAGAGGTCAGAGGAGAATTGGCCGACTGATTCAAGCTGATAGAAAAGCAACTTTGACTGAAATAACCACTCGTTACAACCGAGGTATGCAGCAAAGCATTTGTGAAGCCACAACACGCACAACCTTGAGGCGGAGGGGCTACAACAGCAGAAGACCCCACCGGGTACCACTCATCTCCACTACAAATAGGAAAAAGAGGCTACAATTTGCAAGAGCTCACCAAAATTGGATAGTTGAAGACTGGAAAAATGTTGCCTGGTCTGATAAGTCTCGATTTCTGTTGAGACATTCAGATGCTAGAGTCAGAATTTGGCGTAAACAGAATGAGAACATGGATCCATCATGCCTTGTTACCACTGTGCAGGCTGGTGGTGGTGGTGTAATGGTCTGGGGGATGTTTTCTTGGCACACTTTAGGCCCCTTAGTGCCAATTGGGCATCGTTTAAATGCCACGGCCTACCTGAGCATTGTTTCTGACCATGTCCATCCCTTTATGGCCACCATGTACCCATCCTCTGATGGCTACTGCCAGCAGGATAATGCACCATGTCACAAAGCTCGAATCATTTCAAATTGGTTTCTTGAACATGACAATGAGTTCACTGTACTAAAATGGCCCCCACAGTCACCAGATCTCAACCCAATAGAGCATCTTTGGGATGTGGTGGAACGAGAGCTTCGTGCCCTGGATGTGCATCCTACAAATCTCCATCAACTGCAAGATGCTGTCCTATCAATATGGGCCAACATTTCTAAAGAATGCTTTCAGCACCTTGTTGAATCAATGCCACGTAGAATTAAGGCAGTTCTGAAGGCGAAAAGGGGTCAAACACAGTATTAGTATGGTGTTCCTAATAATCCTTTAGGTGAGTGTATATATAAAATGCAAGCATTTACTAAATAAAACCAACTTAAACAAACAAATAAATAAGTAAATACAATTTAAATTTAAAATAATTTTTCCATTTTACCATTTTATTATTGAGGTCAAAAAGTGATGTTTCTTCTTATTTATTGCATATATTATATGTAATATATTATTATATGTTATATTGTTCCTGTAAATTTACAGGGTATTTTTTTATTTACATTTTTTTTCATTCTTTTTTTTTAGCTTAAAATAATATAAATTAAATCGAATGAAAAAATAACAGAAAATAAAATCATGATGGTCCAGTTAATATGCATGCATTTTCTTATTAAATAAATGCATTCTTTATCAAAATATTATAATAAAAATATATCAGCGGCTGTGCTTTAATTATTACGTTACGCTTTAACTATTAGATGGTATATGTTTAATGGAAATGACTTGGAAACGTTGCATCAGCTGTTTTGCTGACATCAGATGTTTTCCCATTTCTAGCTGCAATACACGAAGTAAAAAGAAAATGTGAGTAGAAGACCGTGAGGACAAAGTTAACAAGACATCCACCCTGTCAATTTCAAGACACAATTTAAGCCTGCAGACTGGAGATTTGCGGGTAAGGCTTCAAGCAAAGAGTCAATGGTTTCATTATGGCTTTGTAATCTCTACTTCAGCAAAGCTCAAAGAAATTGAATCCAATAAAACCCCATTCAGCCTAACAAGCTATTTATAGCACCAAAGCCTAAGATGTTGCTGTTTGTGGTTTCAAGCGAATAGGTTTTGCACTGTATGTCCTCCCTGCCACTGTAAGTTAATCACAAATGTATTGGTCACGCCCTTTAGAAATGATGTCACACGATAAGCGTGGTGAAGGATATCCGAACAGATCGCACATTAGCTTATCAACGTGGGACAAATTACTTTGACAGTGAGCTAGTTGGATAACGTGGCTTCCTTGCCTCAACCTACAAACCTTTGGCCAGAAATGAAATACAGACCGCATTCAAACATAAACCACAACATCTCTCTGACATGGCCGATGTTCGCACATCAGATCAAACTGACGTGTATTTCCGTACTCTAGCCATTCAGCTTCTTAAGAAATGGCTGACGGTTCTACTGATAAGTTTGTTAATTAAATTACCTAGCTACTTATCCATGCGCTGATTGATGTTGCAGCAGTTTTAGGAGCGCTCCAATTAGACACCATTCACACACACACACACACTCAAACGGCCATGATTAAAACAAGGCAATGAGGATATTACGTCCTGCGATGGGCCGATCTACTCTAAGCGCCTGACTGCTGTTGAAAGGTTGTAATTATGGTCATTATCACAGGAGCAAGGAATGCATTCATGTATTTAAAGCAATCTGGAAAAGGTGATTTACATTAAAAACCTGCAACTTCAGTATGTGCTCTGTACTTTATCTGCAATCACATGCTGTGGGGGCTTTTGATGAGATGACAGCAATTTGTCGTAAAATATCTGAGGATAAAGGAATGTTTCGGTTCAAAACAAGTTAAGCTTAAAAGCACACATTACTCCGAACAAAGCAATACATTCAATGATTTAGAAATGACATTCTCTCATCTATTGTTACCCCTGTTGAGGGCACAAAAACTTTTCTTGAGAACTCAGCTGGAATGAACCTGAAAAAACAGCCGTGGATAGCGAACGTTATCAGATAGTAGACTGGAGTCCGCTAATCGGATGGTTAGATCCACAATGGGTCTATAATAGAGACGATGACAGCTCTGTGTTTTTGTAAAGATGGGGGATAAAGAACTGAATGGGGCATTAAGGTCTATTCTGATTCCATTCTCTGAGCTGCTGACACATTTGCATCACAAAAAACTCAATCACGGTCTAATTTTTTCCGTCTGAGGTGGTAATGATAGAGCGCCTCTCCGAAAGCAGTGTTACATGACAGATGCTTTTCATATTACAGCGCAAAACTCTTTGTCTATCTCGCGGTCGCTCCGTCAGGCAGCATAAACACCCTTCAGCCTCTTTAATGCATCTCCGCTCGGCTCCATCAGCACCGTGATTAGTCTGTGCGTACGAAGAGGGGGCTGGATTGACAGCTGCTTCTGTAATGCGGTGCGAGGGGGTCGCTGACCTCTCCTATCCCCATCCCCTACGCCATCAGGCTGATCTGTGACCTGTGAAATTACTCTGGCTATCAAATCTCACCCAATCAGTGGTGGAAGAAGACACGTTCGCAAACCGACCCAAGCACACACGTGTGTTATATTACTTCAGTGGCAGAAAGAGCAAGATGGAAGATACGTAATCTGATAGTTTCATTGAGCCTCATTCGCTGATAATTAAATACAAGTGTGTTTTTTACATAATTATGTGCGCAGGAAAGGTTCTCATGCAACTCTCCACGGGTAAACTCATACATAATTATGTTTTTATTGTTATTCGATTGTTTTTGAACCAGGATTGTTCTAAATGAGGGAGTGCATGGCTTACAGTATGTACATTCCTTACATATATTAGCATAATACATGCCGTTTCAAACAACTTTACCCGTTCAGGCATTTGTAACCATCCTAGATATAATAATAATATATATTTATTGTATAATAATATATAAAATTGTATGTGTACATATAGAGGATTGCAGATGGAGTGGCCAATAAATAATATTCTATCATGAAAACTCTTGGAAGATTTTTAGCATGGTAATGGATATGACAATGGTAATGTATTTGGCCTTGGTGGAATAGATCTCCTATGCTGCTGCTGCTGCTAAATTGCTTCTGCTGTTGATTATTGCTGCTGCTGCTGCTACAGAGCAAGTACAGCAACTCATACAGTACAGGAAGTACATGATTACATACGCCAATACGCTGCTGTGAGTATGTAAGATATACTGCTGCTGCACAAATAGCATATATAAAAATGACCACTAGCAGATTTATGCAGGTGGAGCTGGGGAAGTTGGAGGGTTTCGGAGGAACTCTGAAAGCTTGCTGCAAACTGCTATAGTAAATGTGAACCAGCCATTTAAATGTTGAGCAGCAAGCTCATTGGCTGCAGATGCGACAAACCAATCAGCTTGTGCCAAGTAGTTAACGCTGTGAATATCATCAGTCTGCGTTAAGGACCCATCAGCCTGGGCCATCTAAAGTTTCATGACAGAACTTTGCACATACATTTTTTTTAATAATTTTTTTTTTATTGGCCACTCCAGCTTCAACCCCTCTACATACAGAAGTAAAAAAAAAAAAATTTGTAAAAACCTTTTTACAAATTCCTATTTCTGTGTAAAACTCACTGTGCACCTTTGGACATTCCAAGCCTACAATAATGAAAGTCTTATACTGATATTTTTTGAATGAAGACTTTCATACCCTCATAATTATGCTCTAACACAGCACAGAATTAAAAAGGAGAAAATTACTGTATTTTTACTTATTAATGTTGGCAGTAGAGAGCCGTTTTTCCCATCTTATTATGAACTATTTGAACCGAATCAAACTAAAGGCCACCATTAGCATTTTGCGCAAGTAAGAGGAACTGGGAGGAAATGTCGAGAGGATTAATGTTAATATTTGTGACATTGAATATTCATGATCCCTCCCAAAACTCACATCCAATTACATGTTTGTATTATCGATATTCATGCAGCTGGCATGAATATGGATGGTCCTTTTGTTACAGCGCCTGCCAGTCTAATCCACAGAGGCTTGAAAGAGGAAAGAGATCTGTAGAGGAAATTACCACTCAATAGTGACCCAAACACCTGTTGCAAGACACTGCTTTTTTAAACACAGACAATAGAAGGCCTGAAACACACAATAGCGACAGCATTCTCAATAAGTTGGCAAATTATAATTAGCATCCTCATTATCATCCGGGAGCAGCGAGCATCAATGTTAGATTCTCAGTAGTGGCGATACAAGCAATCAGAGGTAATACAGACCTAAAATGCCTTCATGAAACAGACAAAACAGTGAGAATGAATGGCTTCTTCCATTTGTTTTTCTTAAACAAAATTAAGCTAAGTCTCGCCATGACGATGTGTTATCTATGACTTTTTTGAAGACATTATCTCACCAGCTAGTGTGATAATTCATTGCGATGAAAGCAAATTCAAAGCAATTGTCATAGCACATTTGTATTCTGAAGAAGTAGGGCAGGAAAGCACCGATATAAACATTGTCATACATATTTATTCAAATGAATATTCATGATCCATGCTATTTTGTTTTTGTTGAAGATAAGATTGTAAGGTCAATTATCTCTGTGTGGAAAACACAGGGGGTACAAACTATTTCCAGCAATAGACGTTGCATGTGTCAATGTGTTTCGTATGTAAACGCTTACATCTGGTGACGACTCCCTCCAGTCGAATGATGTTGGGATGGTCAAACTGGCCCATGATGCTGGCCTCACTCAGAAAGTCACGTCTCTGCTGCTCCGAGTATCCGGCTTTCAGACTCTTGATGGCCACCTGGATCTCCCTTTTACTGGGTAGCCTCAGACGCCCACTGCAAACCTCTCCAAACTCACCTAGGAGTCAAACAAAAGCCTGTCAACTAATTGAATTTACACTAAATCCCTTATATCATTTCATTGCATTCCCATGGTGAGCTGTTCAGGTGGTTTACACAACTAGATCATGTTCTTGAGTCATTCATTTGACTTACCAGCCCCAATAACTCTCTCAATCCGGATGTTGGAAACTTCGATTTCTTTGGCGAAGTCTCGCACCGCCTGGTTTGGGTCCTCGTATGTGTGCGGGTGAATGTAAGTGCGGGTTTCGGGAAGTTTGACTGCAATGCAAAATGGTAGGAGTGAGGATAACGGTTGGGTTGTTTTACAGTCACTTTAGTTACCTAGACTGAACCATCCATTTTCCTAAAAGGAGGGGAGTGCCACATTTTCAACCTCATTAAACATTGTCTTTGGCAGGCAGGAAAAGTGTCATTAGAGAAAACACACATTAGGCAACTAGAGCGATCAGAGACATCATTTATCGGCAGATGCATCAGAGACACTGTTCACTAACCAACAATTTCCTGGAAAAACATGCACTTTCTCTATCCATCCATCCAGCCAGCCAGAACGAATTATGCTAGCCGTCTGACTGGCCAAAAAGACATACAACCCCTATTTCAAGGGTTCTCATCTCTGTCCCTCGAGGTCCATTTTCCTGCAGTTTAACTCCAACCTTGATTAACTCCAAACTCATTAGCTTGTTCAGGTGTGTTTGATTAGGGTTGGAGCAAAACTCTACAGGAACGTAGACCTTGAGGGCAAGAGTTTAGAACCCCTGCCCTATTTGATGAGATTTCTTGAACTATTTTCTTCGAATGAAATACATTATACATCTTAAAAAAAGTTCAGGTTTTCAACATTTGCCGGATATTTTGCTGATTATTCTTAAAAAGATTTGAGTTCTTTTCCAAGACCAAAAAACCTGCATGCATTACCTCGTCCATGCTGAAACTGCATTTTCTCTTCCTCTGGGTCCTGCTTTGCTTTAATATATCCACAGCGCCTGGAACAATAGGATAAGCACAATTAAAACAGGCCGACACAAAAGAATACATGCTTTCTCTCACATTAATTCAACCAACCAATTCCCCAAGACAAAAGAAAATGTTGAGAACTGTAGAATCAATTCTACAGCGGCCTGATACAGTCACATATATCATCTTTTAACAGTGTAGTTTAACAATAATGTGTCTTTAGAGTCCGGTTTTCCCACATAGTAAAGATTTCACTGCACTAATCCACTCTTTAGCACTGGGAAAATGCAATCCTGTCACCTCTGACTTTATCATTAACTACATCATTCCTCTCACAGTGGGATCATGAATAAGGAAATGCCCCAGATAATGAATATTCCAATACACTGGGGAGGAAAGGTGGCCAACGTAGGACTGATAATTATGTTCATTATTCATTTAATCCTCTTAGTGACACACACTCACACATTCCCCTTTCCTGTCATGTCTTTAACAAGAACGTATTGCCAAAAAAGTAATGTCAAAGGCTGTCTAGCCATAGTAATTATACATTATGTTGAAATGTGGAGAATGGCTGCAGAATGTCTAAAGACTGGAACATCTGATGGGGACCAGGTGGAAAAAGCTTTCCTAAATGGGTTTCTAGGGGACACTGGCTCAATAATATAGGTGAATATCCTCTTATGAATAGAAATACATGCTGGAGTCTCTATTGTAATATAGCTGATGACAAAATGCAAGGCATTTCTTCTACTGCAGGAAAAGAAAGCTAAGATGTCACCAACAGAGAAAGACAGTGTTTTATCTGAGACAATTATCACATCAACACTATAATCCAGCTAGAGTTGAAAGCCTTTGGGCGAATACACACAGGATTCTTTCTTGCGTCCAAAACCAGCTAGAGTGCAACAGAATTGAACAGATCACAGGGGTCTTGAGGTGCATTTTTAAAAGTTTGACACAGTTTAACTTGACACACCTTTTTAAACAACACAACAATCAACGAGGTATGACACAATCTGATGTTTGTGTACGTAGATAACCAGAATACAATCTGTGTGGTTGCCCCTTTATAAAGCCTATAATTCAGGGATGAGCGCCATTCAGAATTGAATTGAGAATTTGCATTAAACCACCAAACAAGAAGCATAATGATGATTCAATTTTTGATTTAAAGAAATGGAAGGAAGGAAGGAAGGAAGGAAGGAAGGAAGGAAGGAAGGAAGGAAGGAAGGAAGGAAGGAAGGAAGGAAGGAAGGAAGGAAGGAAGAAAGGAAGGAAGGAAGGAAGGAAGGAAGGAAGGAAGGAAGGAAGGAAGGAAGGAAGGAAGGAAGGAAGGAAGGAAGGAAGGAAGGAAGGAAGGAAGGAAGGAAGGAAGGAAGGAAGGAAGAAAGGAAGGAAGGAAGGAAGGAAGAAAGGAAGAAAGGATGGATGGAATCTTAGAATGATAGAAAGACGGATAGAATGATAGACAGGTAGACAGAACAATAAATAGATCAAACCACAGAATGATAGAAAGACTGAAAGACAGATAGAGAGATAGATAGAGATAGATTTCTCTTCCTGTCATTACAGCTTAACTTCCTGTGGGATGTGGCCAGTGGACAATTCAAACTCGCACTCAAGAATTTTGCACTGCGATCAGACCACAATGACAAATCATCAAAACTCTGCAATCAAACCGCTAAGCTATACTCCCGTAGCATCTGTGGGGAAACGATCATGTGATCAGTATTTTGGTCCTGCTATTGATTTTATGCCCAGTTAACAATTCTAATCAATACAGGAGTCCCCCTCTTCCAAGAGCCAGAGCGTGCTCAGCTGCCCCAGAGCAGTCAAAGCATCGGGGCCTGAGGCCAGGGTTGGGGCAAGAGCAGACCTGGGGGTCTATTACATAATGGGAAGACCGCTGGGTTCATTCATGCCTCCTCTAATCCGGAATGTTGCATCTCCCTGTGGAGCTGCAGGGGGTAAATCTTTCCCTTTCAGCTGTTGTACATCCCCGTCTGGTGGGGGTTCAGAGGTACATGTGTGTCGTTTCCTCTCTGCTGCTTTTAATGAGACTGTGGGTCTCAAGAGAGACCCCACCTGTTCATCAGCCACACATACATACACACCCCCCCCAAAAAATAAATGCTCGGGGGCCTAGTGTGCATCTGTGCACAGGTACAACCCCCTCAACCCCTTCGATCTTTATCCGTCCCATGTGCAAAACACAGTCTATTAAACGAAACATGTTTGCAGGGCTGGAGGGGTTCGCGGAGGTGGGCCACCCGACCGAAGCATGTGGTAATCAGGGAGTAAATCGGCTCTCCCAAAACCGACCCCACTTGCTCTCTAACCTGCCCCGCCATCCCTCGAGGTCCCGCAGACGGATCCCTCCCCCTTGCACCTGCTGCAGCGCCGCTCAACGCGCTGATGAAACACTTCCAGTGCCGCAGCGGGACATCCAGAAGCTTCTAAAGTGAAGCGTGATCCCACCCTTCAACCTTCTTGTCATTCATTTAAATGTAATATGCACTATTTACATATTCTGTTATAACGGTGTATAAAAAGGGGGGAAAAAAGTGACAGACTAGTGTCTGGGACTCTGCAATTAACGCATTTTTCAACTCTGAAGCATTCCTCAAATCCCTTTTGTGCGGTGATAAAGACGTTTCCCAGCCCTACACCGCTGGAAGCCCTTTTGTCTATGACCCAGTTTCTTTTTTCTTTCTTCTTCCTTTTTTTGTCTTTCTCCCGCTCTCACAGTGTGAAGCTTGTATCTGCAGGTGACAATGCAGCGGTGCAGCTTTGTATATGCTGACAGGGCTTCCATCTTTCTCTGTGCCTTTGAGAGAGGGACATTGAGACCATGTGGAGAACGGTGCAAAATTAGAGGGATTCTTAAACTGTCTGGCCTGCTTGAGGGAACTAGAAGTGAAAGCTGACTCAGACAGTCTGCCATAAGCATTACGAGAAAGATGTAATGGAGAGAAAGGGGAAATAGACATATTTGGTGCTTGTCAAAACAATATTATTGCTCATAGTAATTCAAACCTTAAAGTATTAAACGTTGGCATGCAACTCGTCTTATAGCGTTTATATTACATACATTAATGATACCTCAAATCTACCTCCTTGAGAATATATGGAAAGAAAAAGAAAAAGCAGCATAGAATTTCACTATAAAGTAGAGATTATACTAAATATATTTTAGAAGATTTTGTTTTCTACGGATTAAAAAAAATATCTTCATTTGTGTACTGAAGATGACCAAAAGTCATGAGGGAGAGTAAATAATGACAAATTTCATTTTGGGGTGAACTAACCCTTCATGGGCATGATAACACTGTGACAACTGATCATGCCTATCCACCTTTCCCTGTTGTAATATTGTTATCGTTTGATTTTATACAGGTGTCTGATGTTGATGAGGTCTGGGCACAAGTATCTGTTGGGGTGCTGACTGTCACAGATGATGATGTATTCTCTCGCCAAATCTTCTCTACCTTCTCTACCCAGTATTATTGTTGAAGGAAGAATTGTAATGGACAATCTCCAGAACGCATTTTGTTTGGGCTGTCATATTTGGATTGCCAAACATTTGGATTACCCTAAAGCCATGAAAAACATTCAAAGAGTGATGCTTGACTTGGGACAGAACAAAAAACTAAAATGCTTTTTTTGAGTGAGGTTAACTAATCGGAATTTACAGTGTACTAGCATAAAACACAGTGGTTTTAATGTGGTAACTCTCTCCTCTGACCCTCAAACTAGTTCATTACATAATGATACTCCAGTTCATTGAGCTAATGAGGTAAAGCAGCTTCCAGCTGGGTCTTCTTGAGGTCTGTTCAGCATTCAGTGGAAGGCAGGCAAGCTCCAGCCTTCAACTGCCACAAGGACATGCCAAGCCACTGGCATGGTCAATATATCCCAGCAGGGTGGCATGCACAACAGAACAAAATTCAACTGATGTCCTTGCATGTTGCCATGTGCCCGTTCTCCCAAAGGAAAGTTCTAATTTGGGATGGTTCACTGAAGCATGCATTTTATCTAGAAACACTATAGACAGAGTTAAAGCATACGTGAGTCCTGACGTTTTCTGTTAAAATCATAGAATATCAATGATTTATTTCCAGAAGTTTACATTTTTCCAAGCCTTTTCGGAGAAGCATGAAGGACATGTTGACACACATGATGAATACAAAGCGAACAGATCAATACAAATCTATCATTACCAATAAACAGTTTAATTATATCTGCTATTATTTAATAAAACATTCCCAATAGGTGATGAAGGACATAGTATAACCTTATAATTTAACCTACAAAAAAAAAAAAAAAAAGATTACTATAGAATGAAGAACTAATAATGACAAACCAAGTGGATATACTACTGGAATTCCTCCTAAATATGCTGCAAACAGAGGTGATAAAGCTGACGATTTCACATGGAGGGGCATGGCGGTATCAATTCAAACTACTTGAGGAAAGTGGTAATAAAAAAAATAAAAAAATAATCCTGACGTAAAACTTAGGGTAATAAAAAAGTAAATGTTCCATTATATGTTAAATGCTACATGTCATAATTTATAATGCAATGTGTATCAGAAAATATAGAAAGCTATTTTAAATAATCTGTAATATTTTCCTTTGTTCCACTTCATCAGAGGCATATTGGCAAAATGAGACCGGGTGATACTGGTAAAGAGGTACAGCATAGGCTATAAAGTGATCTAAAGGGGAATCATGAGTTTATTATTATCTTATACAGCAATAAGAATGATTACGAACGGAAATGTTGTAAACTAATGTTTAAACTAATGTCACAAAAACTGACAATGTGGTCCCTAGAGACATCTCTGTAAACCGTTCTCCTACCTGAAAAAAAAAAAAAAAAAAAAAGATTTACAATCAAGCTAATGATAAAAAGAGGAAATGATTGTGTGTTTGGAGGAAATGTACAGTCATAAATTCTTAGCTCCTCTGACAGGCGTTTTAAAAACACTGACTCCGTCAGTTGAGAAGGGTTCATTACGCTAATTGAAATTCAGAAGAAAATCGAGCTGATTGATGGCACATCCTGGTCTCATCTCCATCCATTGCACATGCATCCAACATATCATCCACCTCTATTTTCCGCTGATGCGTCCAGGCACATCTACAGCTGGCCTGCCATCAAACGAATGGAAATGAAATACTAAGTGAAGCTGCGTGCTGAGAGTGAGCGAGTCATGATGTGCTCCGGGGCTACAGGGACAGCGATTTCTGCTCGGAAAGGCGTTGGAATAGCCAGATGGAACTGTTTGAAAAAAAAAAAAAAACTCTAACACGCTCATGCAACCATTTCGGAATGGCACAGTAATTCCATTTTGTGTTTGTACTTGGATGTGTTGCTAAATTTCTGTTAACCCACATGCAAATGGACTGACTAAACAGTCACGGTACGGTATCAAACCCAAGGGCGAGATACAGGTAATGTCTGCACTAAATCAACCGAACAAGACCCATTAAGCCCTCGGCTGTGCTTTGAAAGCACGATCTACACTACTCAAACAGCCTACAGTACATTCACTCACGTTGGTACATTGACATTCACGGGAAGTAGATTTCATTCACAATTACACCACACTGTGGGTTTCACTACACAGAGAGAAATGTGCCTCTGAAACCTCTCAGTGTGAAACCTCTTTCTGATTGTGTTTTTCTGTTTTCAGCTCCTTTATCGCAATGGTTGCAAACTGATTTCACACACCAAAATGTTTTTTTCTCACTGATGGTTTAAGACCCTTTCAAAAATAGCCAAATCCATCTCAGAGAAACAGGCCACCTGTACGCCTTTTTTTTTTTTTTTTTTTTTTTTACTTGTAATGATGTTTTCAGCCTGGATTGGATCATTTTGTGGATGTAATTGATCGAATTTAATAATTTAATCTGCAATTACATTTTATAAGAGTCCCATAGAATATTCAATTATCAAATACCAGGTGTTAAATGGTGTGCATTTATTTTGTTATGTCATATATCATTTGCATAATGTTATGTAATAAATAATAAGCAATTGCATGCTTTAGTTTAGCACACCACAAATCTGCCAAATCTTAATGTGATTTGAGTAAGAAAGACAAGGGGAAAACACATAACCACTTTAAATGCAATAAAGCCGATAATAACCAATGAATTCATAATTCCAGCAGAAAGCAGGTGTGTGGCTTCTTAATTTCATCATTAAGCTGCAATAATTTCATGCAACATGAGCATTAGCGAATTGCTTGGTGGCAGTCCAACAGGAAGTCAAGGGAACTGCTTTAATATCAGAAGCCTGACGTTTCCTGCTTATTTTCGTGGCTGGCATTCAATGCTCCTCAGGCTTGCAAATGTGGACGTATTTGGCTAGTAGGCACCTGCTAGATATACTGCGGCATCTGTCATTGGGCTGAAATGTTCCACAGACACAATCATGAGGATCTTTAAAGTCTTTAAAGTGTGTCCACCATTTTGAATTGCTTTTCTGGATATAGGCGGAAAATAGAGGGGGAATGAAAGACAAATGAAGACCATCTGCCAGCATCATCACCAGTCAATCCGAGCTGTTTTTTCCTTCAAGCACTAGAACACCGTCCAACATCAAATCACCGCCAGCCAAATTCGGTGCAAAAACAAAATTGAACACACTAAACATGCCTGAACTCTTCATATTTCTCTGACCAACCTAAACACACAGGCCAGAGTTCCCATTGCTTCTAAACAAAGCATTTCTACAAGTTTTTTTTTTACATTTTTTATAATTACAAGAAAATGATGATTTAAAATTAATCATCTGTAACACAAAAAGTTAAAAAAGCTGAACGAACAAATAACAAATTCTAGAGAACGTTTTAAAAAAGGCTACACTAGAACATGCTGAATAGAAATTCCTTTCACTTTTCTTTAATGATTTCCACATTTCTAAGCCTGGAAATCACAAATGTAAATTTGTGGGGGGAAAAATGAAAAACAAATCTCTACAGATTCTCTCATGACCTTGCTAAATCTAGGCATTTGAAACCATAACATCTTGCTTACGATTCCCACTAGAGGCAAAATATGTTTTGTTTTCAGCTCAGCAAGAGAATCAGAAATCAATGACCTCAAACTGTCATTAATGGAAAGGCCTCCCTCTCTCAAAGCTCAGCTGAGGTTCTGAAAGCAGTTAAAAGAACCGATGGCACTGTGAAACGAATACCTTGTTAAGTCCAGTATATATAGCACAGTATAATCCAATGTCAAGGGACTGAATGCAATTAGAGAGTTTAGCTTCACTCACCATTACGATTCATTGGCCACCACACCACACTAGAAGCACGTCATTCAAGATCAGCATCAAAACTGTTTTTATTGCTTCCACGAGGGTCTTCCCACAAGCAGTCACACATGCATTGAGATGGGGGGTTTTGGAAACCATATATAAGAGGTGGCAGCACCAAGGTTTTGGCTTGCAGGCATAAACTTGGCCGACATAACACATCCTACGGGATCGTTCTGTCACAGTGCATTATGGGTTACAAATTGCAAAGCAGACGGAAATCTCATTCTGTGTTACAACATACTGGATCATATATCATCCAACAAAAAATCCCTACTAAATCAGCCTTTGAAATAGGAATGTGATTACCGGTCAATAATAATAATAATAACAAAAAGCTGAAATGATGCCAGTCTTTCTGTAGTATTTATTGGTAGTACAGAATAAATTTGGTACAGTGTAGCTGCATATTGCCCTTGTATCATTACATGTTTTAGAAACAGACAGGAAAACTAATTTAACTATATATATATATATATATGTTGGTAAACAATATTCCTCTTTTTGATTTTTAAATGACATTATATTATATAAATACTTCTATATCAAATAAAAGTGTATATATAAACAATAAGAATTGTAACACTTTACTTAAAGCCTTTACATATATTATGCATTATAAACGTATACATGCATTAATTATGCCTTGTAATGCACCTTACAATGCATTTTATGGTCTCATGAATAATAGGATGTAACAAGGCCTCAATATGCAAATATTATAACATTCTAACTTTGGTTACAATTCTTTATAAAAGGATATAATGCATTACAACAACGTACATTATGAATACCTTAATAATGCATTATGCATAAAGGTTTTAAGTAAAGTATTACCATAAAAATGAATTTAAAATAAAAATATATAAAAAAAAATTATAATATACTTAAATAATTATAATTATTTATAATATATAATTAATAATAGCATTTTCGTTTTTGCTGTTGTACTGAAACAAAGACCAAAAGGCCAAACATCTACACAAAGATCAGCTCATGACTCATTCTGACCATTTCATGTCATCAAGAGCAGTTTATTTTCTGCTTTCTCTTCCTCGTCTCCTCTGATCCACCCATTCCTTTCATTTCCATTTCATTAGCTCCCTCACTCTCAGCCGTACAGCGCCTCTACTCTTGCTTTTCTCCCTCATGTCTGTCTCTTCAATTGTTCTCTCAAGTGTTTGCTTTCATCTCTACAGATCACGCTACGCAATCAGAGGGCTAAACAATTTTGTGTCCTTTTGATTTTGTGTAAATGCACACATGCACAGACACAAAGGCATACACACAGAGACAGACGCACAACAACATCTCATTTGCTCGATTCTGTCTTTCTATATTATTTACAGTTTCTCTCTGATTAAATGAAATATGGTTTCTTCATCCTTCGTATGGATTTGTTGAAAGTTAAAGAACCCAGATAGGCACTGATTTATCCAAGTCTGCCAATGTAGAAGTCACTACTGCTTTTTTTTTTACTGCATACAGAAGATTCCATACTTTGGGTCTGGATATTTATAAAGAATATGGTGCAGTCTAAATCTAAGACTCAAGATGAGAACGATTAAAGAAAAATAGTAAATTGCTCTTACCGTCCGCTCACAACAAAACAGGCCACCAGCAAGACCAGAAGCACAGCACCTCCAGCCACCGAGATGGCCAGTATGGTTTGCTGGTTGGGATCTCCAACCGCCAGCATATCTAAGAGGAAGAGAGAGAAACCCACATTAAAGCAGATATAATCTTAAGTTGTTCAATTTAGCACAGTTCTGGTTTAATATCTATAGTTATTTTCGCAGTTGTTCAATCAATGTATCTGTCTTTAACAAGATTTTAGGTTAAAATGAATATAAATATATAAAGGAAAGAGTATAGTTTAGGTGCTGGTCATCATTTCTTTCAACAATTTTCAATTTTTGAATTAATAAATAATTGTATTTTTTACTTGACTTTTTTTTAGAACTAATTGCAAATATACTACAGATATGCCATGCAGTTTTAAAATGGATTAATAAATCATATTTCCATATACCAATCTGTGTCTAAATAGTAGTACATGGTAAACACATTTAGAAATGGTTAAAGCTTCTTTATTGACACCATGGCAAATTTCATAACAATTTTCAACTATTCTGACATCATTAACTGATTGACATCATTCCCCGCCATTGACGGAATTTTCTGGCTTTCCCTGTTTTCACTGTTATATGGTAGGGGGCGCTACGGGCTCTATGCACGGCGGTATTTCCGGTGAAGGTCTAAGGATGCTGGATTACTTCCGCCGATCGTAGAATTCAAATGCTATACCGAGAATTTATATTGGTTTTTATACTCTATTGCTATACCAAAGAAGCGTTAGTCACAAAAACAGACAAAACAGACACCCCTCATTTTGTTTATGCTTCTTTGTTTATTATATTAAATAAACATAACTATATATAAAATTACATCTAAACGTATTAAAGTTTCGTTTCAAAGACGAGAGGACAGTAAATTTTGAAGACTCTGCCATAATCCCGATTTCCTCGGTTTTCCTCTGCTTTAAATCTCCCCAACCGGAAACTGAAGAGCAGCCTTGCGTCAAATGCGGAAGTTATGCGTGCATATAGCCTATTACGCATCTTCTGAAAGAGTAGAGAATCGCTGGATCATAACACAATTAAAAAAGGAGCAGAAACAAAAGATAAAAGCATTGCTTATGCACACTGTAATCTTTGAAAAAAATGCAATTTTTCTCAGCTTTTTGTTCAAAATGTTGCTTTTTTATTAAACTTACCCACATTCAAGAAGTGTTGATAAAAAAAGAATGCATTAAGCTAGAATTAAACCTTTTTTAGAGGCTCATGATTTTTTTAGATGCATGTTCAGATATTCATGCAACAAAATATTCTAAGGGCCATGAAATTTTTGTGAAAATTATCAAAAATGCTGTTGGTGGCTGGCAACTTTTTTTTCTTTTTTTAAGCTGGTGGGAAGAGTTAACGTGTTATCACAATGAAAAATATATTGAAAAATATTTTAGTGGAGAAACAAAAAAAAGAACTGATGATAAATAAGCTGGATTTCAGCAGATAATGTTAAAATAAAAAGCGTCTCCCTCTAATTATGTGCATTGAATGGTGGCGGGTACCATATGGCACACAAACTATGAGACAAACACAGCGGGGCATCTGCCTACTTTGAGCTAAAGCTGCTCACACTTCAGAGGAACACTGACAGAAAATCTACATGCTCAGACTTCAAACACCGCAGCGAGAGAGCAAACTGCAGCGCGTCAGGAGCCTCGTCTATCTCAGGGGACTAATTGAACGTGTTCACATGCATGAATATTTCACAGCCTCTTTCTACGCGCGCGGCGGATCGGAAATTCAATCAGCGGCATCTGATGGAGAAATACACGGGTGTGACACAGGTAAGAGTTTGGCCAAAGCAAAGTCCTTTCCCAGAATGTCCTTGAAAATTTGAAAATATTCTGCTTTGAATGAGAAATAAAGGGTTTGCAGGCATTTGCACAGTCAGAAACAGAATAAAGGGATCTAAAATCAAGGACATTGTGAATGGGATTTAATAAATCAATAAGCCACAAAAGCAGTGTGCATAAACCCCACTTAACTGTGGTAAAATTGTGATGCACAGCCTTGAGTGGCTTATTATTTTACAAAATAACAAAATCTAATTAAAATGCAAATGTTCAACAAATAATTATGTTTATTAATAATATACACAATAAACAATTCTTACATCAAGTAATGTAGCCAAACTGTAAGCTAGCAACGAAGCAATTTTTGACAAAAATGCTGTAGAGTTCAATTGATGTGTCTAGTAATAATAATAATACATTAATTTTATATAGCGCCTTTAAAAGTTGCTTTCTCAAAGCGCTTTACAGGCAAACATAACAACAGAGAAAACTACACACTTTAAATACAAAAATAAACTAATAAAATGAATAATCAAGTAAAAGCAATCCTAAAATAAAAATGTTTGAGAAGAGATTTAAAAGTCACTAATGTAATGTATTTGCTTCCCTGATGTGTAATGGATTTTATAAAATATTTACTTGTATAAATATTAAGCACACAAAATTTGATTACGTCATCGCAAGGGTTAGTTCACCCAAAAATTAACATTTTGTCATAATTTACTCACCCTCATGTCGTTCCAAACCCGCAAGATTTTCATTCCTCTTCGGAACACAAATTAATATATTTTTTATGAAATCAGAGAGCTTTCAGTCCCTCCATTGACCGCTACGCAACTACTACTTTGACACTTCAAAAAGGTCATAAAGACATCGTAATTTATATGAATCGAGAGATTTAGTTCTAAATTTTCTGAGGAGACACGATCGCTTCAAATGATGAAAAGATTTAATTTAAGCTTTTATTCATATATAAACATTCATCAACTCACACATCAGATATGATAAACGGAAGCTCAAGCATGTTTGCTTTAAGTGCAAGAACCAATGAGGTTCATTCTTGTGTGTTACGCAGCACGTTTGAGCAAGAACCAATGAGATTCATTCGTGTTACAAGACACGTTGGAGTTTTCGCAAGAACCAATGAGATTCATTCACGTTTGAGCTTCCGCAAGAACCAATGAGATTTGTCATTTTGCGTCAAGCAGGTTTGGTTGAGCTTCTGTTTATGTTATGTTTAGAACGACATGAGGGTAAATAATGGTTAAGATGGTTTTCCACTCACCTTCATGGCTTGTCTCCAACTCAATCTCTCCCCTGTAGTTCCCATAGCCACCATCCGTACGGACTCGAACCCGGAAGATGTATGTGGTTCCCGGCTTGAGTCCGTCCACCGTCATGCTGTTGGATTTGGTCTTCAGGACAGTGTAGTTCTGATCATGCTGGTTCTATAGTGGGAAAGAATGGAATGATAAATGAACAAGGCAGCATTCTATGAAGACGGATGTCTCGATCCATCACGCCGATACCTGAATCCCTTACTGTCCTGCAAACCCCCAGGAGGCTGCGTGAACTTTGTCGAATCATCCATAATGGATCGACAGAAACAAACGAAGAACAAGAGAACAAAGCATGCAGATTGGATTCAAATCAGTCAATTGCCAATTAGCAATTAGCTCAGATGGAATTTAGTGCTCATTCAAGCACCTCCTGCCAACAGCTAACACAATGCTTTTCACGTAGACGGATTGAACTGAAAAGAAACTGCAGATTTCTGCAGTTTTTTTTAAGGGCCTAACTGCTTTTCGGTTTCCAGTAACTGGAATTTATCCAGACAAATGACATCAATCCTACTGACGCCTCATTGTCCAATTCTCATTGTCCAATCCTAAGTGGAATTCCATACAGTGTGCTCATGTTAATATTTCACAGCTTATCGATATCCATTCATCTTCCTTCATGTAAGCCTTTCGCTAAAGTGGCACATGGCGTCTCGCTTAGGGAAATCTAACGTTCCAGACAGGAACGCCACACCCTGCAAGAGAGGGACTGCCATATTTCCTGTGGTGCTATTAAATCTAAGATGGGCCAAACAGGCGGCATCAAACGGATCGCGGACACAGCGGCAGGCGAGCCTGTCCATCTGTGCGCTCCATCTAAAAGCCACATAGCCCATAATCACCTGAATAAATCATAATAATTACCCATCACCCTGTCTTCATGCCACAGAGCCAAATACTGCGGTACAGGAGGGTGTCACCGAGGGATCTAAACAACTAACCGTGCCAAATCACTTACCCTGTGTATAGAAATGTTACTGTAGAAAGCAGTTCACACTAGAGATACACATCAGTTATTGGCCGATAATAGAGATATTTTGTGCATGCTCATCTCTGCTATATTTGAAATAAATGTAATCTTTAGCAAATCTGAAAATGAATATGTAATTTTGATATGGTACAATATAATATTGTGATGCCTAAATTTACCTTTTTTGGCATTCAAAATAATTGATTCATGATTTTAGATTTATTTCTGAATTGAATTATACACAATAGTATAAAATAGTATTTTAATAAAAATGTATATTTAAAATAAATATAGATCGAAAATTTGTTTCCACCGTAGATGCGTACATAACCCGAACACACATATAACATGTTAAATTATCGTCATATAATACGATCAAAAATAATCTCTGACATTACAAAAAAAAACAAAAAAAAACAAAGAGAGCATCGGTGACGTATAATAATATCAATAATATTTCGATACAAAAGAAGAAGAAGAGGAGGAGGCTGAACAGACAAGTGTCTAAGTTTACGAATAGCTGTCAGTCTTTGTTGACAGCACTTGTAAACCCCTAGAGTGTGCTGGTTGAAGTTGAGATTTTGATCAAAAGTAATGCCGAGATATTTGAAATACTCCACCCTTTCAACTATCTCTCCGTTAATGGTAATGCTAGAAGCATGGATCTGTGTTTTTGGGGAGCTAAAGACCAGTTCCTTAGTCTTTGAAATATTGAGATGCAGAAAGGTATCCTCACACCACATACTAAAATGTGCTATAGAACGTTGATAGTCCAAAAGAGTCACTGTCCTTATTAAGCAGAGCAAGAATGGCTGTATCAAATATTACAAATATTTAATTTATATAAATATAATTATATAACCATATAAAAAATGATCTATATACAGTAGCCTATATATTCTTACATATATATTTGCTTATCTAATGTCTGCTTATAATTAAATATATAAATTATTTATTTATTTGTTATAGACCATTAAATTAGTAGTTGGACATACAGTATTATACACTTTATGACATTACATAATAATCACATATCAAATGACAACATCAAATTGAAATCAGATTTCACCATTCAGAATGAGACTTGTTTTTAATCGGATTTCAAACCACATATGGATGTTTTAATTCGATTTCAAACATAATCACATATGGATTTGTAAATAAATGAGATTTCATGTGCTTCTTTGCTGTTTAGACTACAGCCAATTGGATGCTGTAAATAAATAATAAAATGTCTGCCTGTCTGAACAAAGCCTAGGTGATTTTGTTCAGGACAATAATGTCATCAACTCTAAAATGTGACAACCTTGAAGGTTTTTGGCAGGCGGGACATCTATGAATGTTAATTGGGACCGAATGAAGCATGTCTGTGTTAACATTACAGCCTCTCCCCAGGGTACGATAAAAGTGAGCTGCCATATGTCCAATCAGTGCAAGGAGAACTCACATAGGGCCAAAAGGTCATGGAGATTTGAGTGTGTTGAAGAAAGACCAAAGCCTCTAACCTTTTCATAATAGGTGACTTCATATTCCACCACGGTCCCGTCGGCAGGTTCTGGACCCTGCCATGCCAGCGTTACACTGTCAGTGCCCTTCCTTTCCTTTAAGATGACGCTCACTGAAAAAGAAAGAGGGAGAGATGAATTGAGATTGATTTCCATGTAAAAGAGGAGGATTAATTACACTTCTAATTAAAGAGTATGAGAGGGCTGCCGGAGCGCTTCTTGTCTTTTTCGGGAGTGATAAATTATTCTGCGTGTGTAGTGAGTCATTTTCACCCGTACTACATAGCTGGCACGCAGCCAGAGCACCTCAGCCCCGTCTATTCACACAACAGCAGCGTTCACGAGCCGCCCTGAGCGGAGAGAGACAGAGGTGCTAATGATGGTGTCAGATCGGGAGTACAAACGAGGGCCTCCCGTTTTGGGCCCCGGCAGCCAGTGATGAATGAAGGAGCTGACGTTTCGATCTTTAATGAGCTGTGTGAGTCTTAACTCTGCGTACACTGTTCTGATCTGCCACGCAGCGCTGACACAGTGACACCGCTAACTGCCGTACACACACAAACACTCTTAAGCTGATAAACAAACAGCTACGCTCATATCTCAGCATGTGTTTGGTTCACAGATAAAAGAACAGATGCGCTTCAGTTCAGAGTAAGTGAAAAGAAAGGTGTCTCAAAATATCACCGATTTATATTCATTCGAATGAAAGAGGTGGCACAGATCTTAAATAGTCTTTTAAAAAACATGGCACTCATACATGGTATAAAGAGCTAGAAGGTAATCAAGAAATTTTTCTTATTATTATCAATGTGGCAAAGAGTTGTGCTGCTTAATATTTTTGAGGAAACTGTGATGCATTTTCAGGGTTATTTGATGAATAAAAAGTTCAAAAGAACAGCATTTATTTCAAATAGATTTTTTGATGTCTTTACTGTTACTGTTGACCAATTTAATGCGTCCTTGCTGAATAAAAGTATTCATTCAAAAACGTACTGACTCCAAACTTTTGAATGGTAGTGTAAACAGTGCAAATTTCACATTTTATTAAGAAAACAATAGGGTCAATTGTCAATAGAGGAGATTAACATAACTACTTTCTGCATCAACTAACTTGCATTATACATTCATATGTGTAGCATAACAACACTTTGCATTCAGTTCTAATGAAGTCATAAATCTGTCATCTTTGTTTGATGTTTTCGTCATTTTACGTTGCCTTATAATTTGCATTTATAAATATTCTGTTTGCCATCACTCGCACACCTGCCGATGAAAGATGTGCCCTGAAACATCAGTCGATATCCGCGTCATGCAAAACATGCAAATACAGGCACTACATCATCCCAGAAGCCTCCTCTCGACGCACGGCGGATTGTCTCTTGAATATTTCAAGCGGTGTGGACCAGAGGGCAAGTACTCGAAATATAAACCAATCACAGTTACGTATACCTCAATACATCCCCTCCCACAGTGGCGTTTCCACGGTTACAGGCATGTCAGCTCTCATAAGAGCGAAGGGCTGTTGATCTGGGCATCCAGGGTGACTCTCCTCTCAGGCTTCTCATTACGCTGCCTCTCGCTCCTGTCTATCTCTCTCTCGCTCTTGTTCTCTAAGGGGCTGAATCATACTTAACCACAGGATCAGGAGAGCTCGTCTCTCCTCTCGACCAATGACGGGCTTCGAGCCACACACAGAGTGCGGGTTTAAAGGTCAGACGAGATATAAGAGAGGACCCATTGAAACACAGCATGCCAGTGTAAAATTCAAAAGCAGGAAGCAAGAGACAAAAATTGTGACTAAAGCTGCAGAGATTTAAGAAAAATGTGTAACGGAGGACGATTAAAGCTGTTGAAGGACTACATATCCCTGACTCGTCTGACAGACAGTTATAAAATACATCTACATCACAGCATATTTTTTGTATGAACCAAAAAAAAAAAAGTGGTTATTACATTTAGAACAACGGTTTCAAATTTTGCAAAGGACCCCCAAATATAACCATTTCCTTGCAAGGAATCCCTTCATAAAACATAAAGATAGCTTTAAATGTTCATGTATTAAGGACTCATTTATACTGTACATGAAAAATATTAAGTGTGATATTATATAATAGCATTTTTATTATATATTATTCCATTTATGTTCTATATTATATTTATATTTATTTATCCATGAAAATATTATTTTATACATTCATAAATTATCACATTTATATTTTATATTATATTTATTTATCCATGAAAATATTATTTTATACATTCATAAATTATCACATTTATATTTTATATTATATCAATAATTATATATACGTGTGCGTGTGTGTGTGTGTGTGTGTGTGTATTTGTGTATATATATATATATATATATATATACTATTATATAAACAAAAACTTTTAAAATGTTAATCGATTTGACAGCACTAAATATAATATAAAATAAAAAAACTATATAAAGATTTGGTTTCTTTCTATGACGTAATGTTAAAACTCAACAGTCAACAGAATAAAGTAATTGGCATTAAAGGAGAACTCCGGCGCAAAATGAACCTTTGGTCTAATTACACATTGTTACCTAGTCAACCGTTATCTGAGATTTGTTTTCATGATTATCGAATGTAAATAGTTTTATCTCTAAAAACAGTTTAGCCTATAAAGCAAGTATAACGGTAGTATATTGGGCATAGATCAATGACAAATAAAATTCGCTTGTTAATACCACTAACAAGGTTCAAAATAGCCCCACACTAACACGGTAGCATAATGAGGGTCCCTACCTTCAAACCAAAGCATTGAGAACTTTGTCAGTGTCCAGACAGTTTAATAAGAAGATATTTTTTACATACAGTCAACTTCGCGTATACAGGCAGAAGCCATCTTTGAAAAAGAGTCTCTACCAGTCGATCTACGAACGCCGATCCAAGCCTGCTGTTCGCACTCACCTTATCACAACTTATAGCTCGTTCACATCTCACCAGCGCACTTGGATCGGCGTTCGTAGATCAACTGGTAGAGACTCTTTTTCAAAGATGGCTCCTGTCTGTATACGCGAAGTTGACTGTATGTAAAAAATATCTTCTTATTAAACTGTCTGGACACTGACAAAATTCTCAATGCTTCGGTTTGAAGGTAGGGACCCTCATTATGCTACCGTGTTAGTGTGGGGCTATTTTGAGCCTTGTTAGTGGTATTAACAAGCGATTTTTATTTGTCATTGATCTATGCCCAATATACTACCGTTATACTAGCTTTATAGGCTAAACTGTTTTTAGAGATAAAACTATTTACATTCGATAATCATGAAAACAAATCTCAGGGAACGGTTGACTAGGTAACAATGCGTAATAGGACCAAAGGTTCATTTTGCGCCGGAGTTCTCCTTTAATCTTATTTCAAAAAAAAGAAGAAAAAAAAAGATTTAGGGTTCCTGGACACCAGTTTTGAAAACCCCTCATTCAGAGGCTTCTAAGGAGTCTTATCCTACTAACATATAACACATAGAAAACCCCTTCTTGAAGAACACTGACATCTCACCTGTCTGACTGGTGGTGACGTTGACGGACACTAGTTGACGTGGACTGGGGCTGAGATCTGACACTCCGTTCAGGGCTTCTATGCTGAAGGTATAATTGGTGTGAGGCTGCAGTTCTGTGACCAGAACCCTGGGGTGCGTCAAGCCAAACTGCCTGGGGTTGAAATGTGGACCACTGCCGCAGGGAACACACTTCTCACTGTCCCCTGCAGCCCCTGTATCTCCCGAACACTTCCTGCAGTGGACACTATAGGTAACATCTCCACGTCCACCACTGTCACGAGGAGGACTCCATTCTAGAGTGACTGCAGTCTCGTTCACCATTGAAATAGGGTTGCCGGGTGCCGAGGGGGGTCCTGATGAACGTACATACAAGTAAAACACATTAACTGTACAGTTATCTAAATAACAACAAACTGGATGTTCGATTGATTGATTTTAGTTAACATTTAGAAAGACCCTCAGCTTACTTGTGCACGCCATGGAGCGAGGGTCAGATTCTGCCCTGTAAAAGCCTCTCTCACACACACACTCGGAGGCTTTGTCCTGGTGGGAGTAGCTGTGTGGAGGACACTTCACGCAGTACGCATCCATGGCAGAGGCCTTGTAAAAGCCTGACCGACATGCTATTGAAGAAGAAAAAGATTAAAAAAAGTATTTTATTTATTTTCAGAAAGATTAATATTATTATAATAAATTACAAGTTGAATTATAAGAGAAATGTTGATATGAGTTCTCATTATACAGTATATAGTTAAACCAAAACAAGGAAACGAATCAGTTTAACGTGGCCACAATCTATCTATCTATCTATCTATCTATCTATCTATCTATCTATCTATCTATCTATCTATCTATCTATCTATCTATCTATCAAATAATATCAATTAAAATGTCATTTACATATAGAATTCTAAAAAATTCTTAAAGGTACAGTGGCAGAAACAGACAAAAATGTTGTATTCTAAGGGTACAAGAGAGAATTAAAAAAATTACATTTTGACATTTTAGAGCATGAAACCTTATACTTGAATACTATTGAAGAAGCAATGTGAAGAGAGGAGTTTTGTGAGGTTATGAGGGAGATTTCCCCTCAGCTCTCGTCACCTTCTTCAGTGAGGCATTTCTAACATTGCATTCCACTGCAGCATTAGCCTGACTGGAGGCACGTGGCGGCCGTGTGTGTGTGTTGGGGGGGGGGGGGGCGGGGGGGAGGCTGGGGGGGGGGGGAGGCTGGGTTAAGTTGGAGCTGTGTGTGTGTGTGTGTGTGTGTGTGTGTGTGTGTGTGTGTGTGTGTGTGTGTGTGTGTGTGTGTGTGTGTGTGTGTGTGTGTGTGTGTGTGTGTGTGTGTGTGTGTGTGTGTATGCGCGCATCAGAGCACTTTCCCTCAGGGATGCTGTGCCAGACTCCCATGTTGCCCCTAGAACTAAAAGCAAACCCTATATTTCTGCAAACACATCCCAAACATGTCAGTTCTTATCAGCCACAGCACAATGCCTCCAACATATTTCTCTTTTCAGAGTGACTAATACTGAACTTTGGACTGTGCTAATGGAGTGTAGAGTGACGGCTGCTTTGAAAAGCAGTTAAAGGCGGATGTAGTTTTGAGAAGTGTTGCTTGTAAATTTAACCATGCTAAGTGACTCAACCTGTGCTGTAATTAATAACTCAAACACTGAGGGATGTCTTGGGCTCCAAAGAAATTTCATTACAGAAGTCATGCTGTAATTCCTATATGCACCATCCCAGAAAAAAATAAAAATTGATCAATTATTTTTCTCTATTTTTTAATAAACTATTCAAATAGGATTTACACCTGCATCAGAGCCAGTAAATGTGGAAAATATTTCCTGCTTCCATTTCCTTAGGATACTATATCCATAATATCAATAAAAGTGGCATAAAATCATTATATTGTAATAGTTGTAATCATATTATATTGTGTTGTATTTTATATCTATTGCGATGAAGCAGTATTATATTGTTAATTGGGGATAATTGGGACATATTTTCCCAGTCATCTCATTAGTAAAAAAGTGTTCCACTTTACCTGAATTCACCCTAATACTATTTCATTACAATATAATGTGGCTAAGTATTGCAATGCACAAGCCAAAAGAATCACATTAATAAGCATTATGAGTAGAATATGCATTACATTGCACATTTTATAACTCCAGCATATCAACCTCCTCAATCCATTAACAGACGCTCTGATTTACCACCACATTAAACTTTAGTTAATAGCCGGAGAAGTATCATGATCAATAAGACAGCTGTCCCTCTTAATTAATGAATCCCTATCTTTCAGTTCCCCACCAACCAATCAACTGTGGTTTATTGCACTGTTGTTAAGCTTAAAAGGTCAAATGGGTCAAAACATTAGCGGAAGAGTCATTTAATGTGATATAAAACCATGCAAAATGCTGTTTTCTTTCTGACCAGTATGGTTCTTCTTGCTATTTAATATTTCCAAGCCAATTCGTTTGGTCCAAAATTAAAACTAAAAAGGAAAGCTAGAATGCTTTCCTGTAGCTCAAACAGTAGAGCGTTTGCGCTTGCAACACCAAGGTCATGGGTTCGATTCCCAGGGAAAGCAAGAACTGATAAGAATGTAAATGTGTACCTTGAAATGCTTTGGATAAAAGCGTCTGCCAAATGCATAAATGTAAATGTAAAAAGCATTATGTACCACAGTTAGGCTTTCTGCAATGACAAAGAAGACAAAGACAAAGATTTATCCACCTATCTCAATCTAACACCATTGACACCACCACACACACACATACGGCTACACACACACGCACTGTGTAATGCTTCAGTAAAGATAAGACCCTCTCAGCGTGAGATCTTTCCGAGAGATTAAAGGAACAAGAATTTGCTCTAAATGCTTTTACTTCAATCTGCCGAGAGGCAGTCGAGACCAGCAGAATTAATACTGCTCTTAACAGGAAAACGTCGCTTTTTTTTTTTCATTCTTCCATAGTGTGAAATTACTAAATCCTTTCTTTATCAGTGTCACACTGACTGTGTTTTGTTATCTAACCATGTTCTCCTTTTATTTACAGAGATGTCATAATCCACATGACCACAGATACATTAAAAGCCATCATTGTTTTTTAATGCCAGAGCTCAGAGCGTTGCATAGTTCCTGTTTTTTCTGCTGTACATAATACAAAAGGAGAAAATACACAGATGTGGAAATACACACACAAAAAAAGCCATTTTCCCAAATGGTTACACTGCTGTACTAACTAAAGCTTTATGCTAACAGGCTTACTGAATTCTGGCACAAATCCGGGAGTATTCACTGACCTAAATAATTCTGAGCTAAAATGTACAGTTTTCAGGGTTATTAGGTGAAGTTCTCCTGCATGTAAAAACACCCCATGATTCCAGCGTATTTAGCTAAGACCTACATAAGGAGCAATTGTAGAACGTGTAACCTCTGGTGGTCAGTGTGAGGTAAGAGGTGTAAAGTCGGAACGAGGCCTGAAATGAAACAGCGTGTGTATTGTGGTTTTGCAACCTCTCGGTGCCCAATGCCAAACCAGAAAGCCGTTGGAAAGCCCTTTTGTGGAACCCAACTGGTCTAGTGTCTCATAGCCAGAGCATTGGCAACAAGGCAGATTTCAACTACGCCTGCTAACCACAAAAAAAAAAAAAAAAAAAAAAAGGACAATAGAGGATATGGAAATGCTGTGAAGGAGAGATCCAGGAGATGCAATTTGCCCCTGAGTGGCGAGCTGAAACGTTCCAGATTAATTGGTCTATCTGAGATCATGAAAACCTGAAAAAAATCCTCCAGCAAGGTGTCTACCATAATGAAATCTTAACATAAGTGAACCCATGATGGTTAATGCTGGTTTGGTGCTGGTATTGCCATGCTAGGCAACATTAGGCAACCAAATGTTAGACAAATTATTGATGGGCGAAAAAAATAATCAATGTATAGCAAAACATATTAAGAATACCTTTGCTCATGAGCAGAAGACAGAGAAAAGTCGAACATCTCAGAGATCTAAAATGGCTCCCTTATCAAATATTTACATTGGTGTGATTGGTGTCCCCTTGGCTCTAGATAATCAATAGCTTTTATATATGATACCTTCAGACAGAAAGACAGAAAGAGCAGCAACATCATGGGAATAAAGAGAGAGAGAAAGCAAGCGAGAAAAAAATGAACAGCGGAGAGCTTGTTTTTTTTTTTTCTTCCTGCGAGGCGGAGGATGAGAGACATGTTTGGAGAGTGTGTTTAATGCCCTGGTCCATGGGGACGAATGGTTGCTATTAGTGTATTTCTCATTCTGTCTGCAGTCTCTGGTTCATATTGAATGAGGCAGATCAATAGACATCAACCCACCACCTCAACAGAGACCCTTCTCCATCACATCAGGGATCAGGGACAGCGCCTAACTATGGTGAGAAAGTTAAAATAACAACTAAATGGTATAAAAAATTAAACAAAAAAAAAACAGGATAAACTGACTGAAACTGAAATAAAGTTCAACGCTATCTAAAATAAAATAAAATTTGGCAGCCCTAAAATACAAAAAAATCAAACTAGATCAAACTAGAAAACTCTTTAAAAAAAAAAAAAATCTAACAATGAAAGTGGAAAGTTTGAAACTTGTGAAACCTAAACCAAACTATTATATATTGTATATTTGAAAAGAGAGTATATTCGAGAGTGGCATCCCTTCTTCCAGCGCTTCAGGTTCCCTTTTCAATTTAACAGCATTGCGGACCCACTCGGAAAAGAAGAAAAAAGGTAGGGTCAGTCAAACAGTCCCCAAACCCTCAGAAACCGGGCCTTCTATTACCTAGGGAGAGAGGCTTATGTACTAGTTTCCATGGCAACATAATTCCAAAATGCTCCCTTCATTGATTGTGAATCAAGACTTAAATAGTAGAACTCCTAGGAGAATATAAGAGTGAAGTTTGATCCACACAAAGCAAAAGGTTCATACTAACTAAAGCAAAGAGAAGTGCTTGAAAATACCATAACACATCTCAATCTCTTTCAATACACTTTTAACTCTATAGCCAACCTTCAGAGGCATGTTTCATGTGCTTGGCCTTCAAATGGACATATATGGGCTAGCTATGGGCTAAAATATGGACTAGCTTACATTTGAAGTATAAACATAAGGGCAAGGCATTCTCTAAAAGCATTTACAACATGAAAATTGATGACCAAAATGGCGCTAAAAAACGTTGGCATTAGTGATCAGTGAATCTCAGTTTCTTACAGTTAGACTTTGATCTTTGCTCACCTAAAAGTGGATGCTCGACGTCTTACTGATGCTAAACAGCCAAAATACATCAATGTCAAACCGTCATTTTCCCTATGACATGCTAACCTAGGCTAACAGTTAGTCTCTAAAGTATTTCAACACATTTGTCTTTGGATATCCACGTTCGCATTTCTTTTGGTAAGCAAATGACCTGGCTGAGCCCTTCGACATACAAGAATAAACAAGGTTCTTCACATTAGCAGAACTCAATCTCACCTCTAGGAATGGAAGTGTTCTAGTGATTATAGCGCTCCGCTCTATTGATTTAGCGTCCAATTGCACAGCAGAGACTTTTTAAAGTCTTTTCAGCCATTTTTTACCCTGGCCAT